TTTTTATGAAGGGAGAGTAGGTAGAGGAAGTGACATCTTCACGTGACGCATGACCAACCTCCTGATGATATGACGTGCTGTACTGTTTACGCGCGCTTAAAGCTTCTTGCTGTCCCATGGGCCCATATTCAGGCCGGCACGCCCCAGTATTTAAATCATGCTGTTTTTTGCTGTAGCTTTTCTGAGTTTTCTCTTTATTTTTATCTCTCTTCTCTTCTTTCTCACGTATAGAAGGCCAGTATGTACTGGAAAGAGAGCTGGAGAGGCCAGAGCACCTGTTGAGCAGCTCTTGGACCCTTCCAACAACCCAAGCATGATTAAATATGAAGTGAAAGATTTGTCGTCTCCGAAACTAGTTGGCTATCTATTTAGGATCCTGTCGTTGAAATTGTTATCTTTACTTGGTAGCTTTGTCATTAGGAACGTTAAGAAGAAGAGCAACCTTGATCTTATGAATGGTGAATACATACCAGAGCCACCAACACTCTTCCCTCCTGTACCTCCTCCATTAAGAAACGAAGCCATTGAGCAGTCCAATGCTAAACTATTGGAAGATATTGCTGGCAGTTATGCTTCGACTAATGGTCGTATATCTTCCTTGGATTATTGGGTTGCCTATAAGTCTGGCAATGTTGAACCAGTGGATGTAGCTAGGGCAGTACTGGAGTCTGTTAGAGTTTCTAATTCCCGTTCACCACCTTTGAGAGCTATCGTTGAAACTGACGATGAGCTCACGATGAAACTGGCTCAAGAATCGACTAGAAGATGGAGAGAGGGGAAGCCCCTATCGTTACTGGACGGCATTCCTTTTGCAGTGAAAGCTCAAATCAAGTTTGAGTCTTATTCTCTGACTGGAGGAGCTACTTTCGAACCGACCTGTTCCCTTGGTCTTAAGGAAGCCAAGGTGGTTAGGAGGCTTGTTGAAGCAGGTGCCATAATGGTCGGTCTTGCGAATATGCAGGAATTTGGTACTGGGGTTTTTGGTTCCAATCCACACAAGGAGTATATGACTGCAAGAAACCCTTATAATGATGAGTGCTATTGTGGGGGGAGCTCCTCTGGATCAGCAGCTGCTGTTGCCTCTGGCCTCTGTCCTATTACAATCGGTGGTGATGCAGGTGGATCAATTCGTACTCCATCCTCTTTTTGTGGCATTACAGGTCTCAAGACGACCTTTGGATCTTTAGATTTAACTGGTTTCCTACCTCAAACCCCCTCTGTTGGTGTGATTGGCCCAATGTGCTCAACATCAGTTGATGCAGCCATTGCAATGAATGTAATGGAGCCCGGAAGGTTTGATTTGAGTGGATTAGCTGATATTAAAGATCTCAGTGGTCTAAGGATTGGGGTTTATAATGAGTATTTCGATGATGCCGATCCTCAAGTTGTTTCGTTATGTAGGGAAGCATTGGATGCTTTGGCTTCCCTTGGTGCTGAGGTTAAGGATATTGTCATACCAGAGCTTGAGGAGCTGAGAGTAGCTCATCTGACAACAGTTGCCACTGAGTTCTTTACTAATTACGCTGTTGATATTGATAAAAGAGTTGAAGAGATGAATTCTGAGACCATTATGCTATTTAGTGTCGGTAAGAGTGTCTCTGCTAAAGAATACATCAATGCACAGAAGCAGCGAACTCGATCAATTTCAATCATAAAATCTCTTTTTGAAGAGGTTGATCTTATTGCTACACCTGCAACTGGATCTGTGGCTCCAGCTATACCTCCTGGGGCTGAGAAGTACGGGTATGGGAATATGGAATTAACTGGTAAAATTATTAAATATGCTTCTCTTGCTAATTTCACCGGGATACCAGGAATAAGTATACCAGTTGGTCTCACTAGTGGGGAAGGAGGTGGCCTGCCTGTTGGATTCTTGCTACAGAGCCATTGGAATAATGAAGGATTGCTGCTACGTGTTGGCTCTGCACTAGAGGAACTCATTCCAATGGAGAAGCCACCAATTTACTACAACATTATTGAAGAGGCTATGCAAATAGAGTAAATAATACCTACAGGTATTATTTATTATTTACTCTTGCTATTAGTAATAGTAATTGATAAATTGATTTTCATTAGTTTTTCTTTTTTACTTAATTTGTG